CATTTTAGCCTAGACATCGTGTATTGGCCCATTTTCTTTGGCCTGCATCCAAAAATATTAAAAGTGGGCTATTTTCACGCCTATTTCTCAATTTTTTGTTTTGTTTTTAGAAAACTGTGGCCCATTCGCTGAGTCGCTTAATTGCCTCGGTGCGAACAGGTTAAACAGGCAGCCATTAGTTAAAAAGGGAATGTCTTATACGATACAACGCTTTCCCTGGATCTTTACGGGTTATCATCAATAGCGTCTCCTTTTCTTTCTCCTGGAATTTACCTGCTAATCTTCCCTGTCATACCACTGGGTGCTTACCCGAGCAACCCATTGAATTCAAAAAACAATATGTTTCAATGTGCTGTTTATGTTCCCTCAGCTCATCGCATCGACTACGAATGGCCTATAAGTAAGGATTATGCCGAAGAAAAACTGCAATACATCAAGGCTTATGTTGACAATTTGCCTCAAGAGACACAAAGTTTAACTACAGGCACTAGTGACAGCGGTCTGGGAGCACAAGCAGGACCTTCTGAACTTGAAGAGGATTTGAAGGGTAAGTACCAGCTGATGACTCTATTGTTTTGCCCGAAAAAGATCCTCAGTCATTAAAACACAGATTAGAGACGTATTTTCCCCGGCCACTGTTGCTTTTTCTTTGATCGTTTTCTTTTGAAATCGTTTCAACGTGGCGTGTTTTAGATATCAACGAATCAACAGTGAGCTCCACTGTTCATTCATACAGTCACGTAAAGTTACTAGATGATGAAAACGCAGTATTAAAATAATGACAAAATATTGGTTGATCTAGAGATGTTAACTATTTTCATAATCTTTTACATTCACTACTCTATTTATCTACATATTATGAATGAGCCTGGAAGACGACGAATTTCCAGCTCAGATAGGCTATGATTAGCATTGTTAAATGCTAAATTAGGAAAAATAAAACAATGACCGAGAACAACAACAACAACAAGAACCGAAAAGCGTAAAAACTGCAGAGAAGAAAGTTTACTACACTACGCTCCAAGTGGTGGTAATCTCGACATCATCAAGACGATACCATCACTTGGTTTGGACGTGGATTCAAGAAATATTGATGGCGATACACCATTGGCATTTGCTGCGTTACGTGGCAAATCTGATGCTGTTTCTTTTGTTTTAGCTAAGGGAGTAGATCCCTCGGGAAAAGTTCGATACAGATGAACTCTATTGCATTCAGCTGCGGCAGGTAGTCAAGTCAGCATAATAGAGACAATGCTGTCACGTGGTATTGATGTGAATTCAAAAGACTCTTTTGATGACACACCCTTACTTGTTGCTGCTAGTTTTGGCAAGATTGCGGCCGCGCATTTCCTTTTAAAAAGGGGAGCAGATGCCTTTGCTGGCTTCACTGGAAGAGATGTATTGCACCACGCTTCACTCAGTGGTAGTGTAACCTTGATTGATACAGTGCTGTCATTTGGTGTTGATGTAAATTCAAAAGATGACAATGGTCTCACAACGTTACAACTAGCACAGAAACAGCGAAAAACTGAAGCGGTAAACTTCCTTCTTAGCAAGGGAGGACGTTAGTTTTTTTCTAGCTTGCCTGAGCTCCTACTGGGTTTCAGGTTTACGACTGATAAACTTTGTAATAGCTTGTACGTACAAAATAATTGCGGTCCATAAAAGGCACAATAGTTGCAAAAGTTATTATTGTGCCTTGGATAGTTATAACTACTAGACCTCTAATTTTTTAGGCATGATAAATGATTCTATTTCTTGAGGCTAATATCCAGCCATCTTGACCGAACAACCTTGGTTA